AAGACAGAAAAAAGATTTGATTACAAGTTTACACTGAAACCTTTTCATCGAAAAAAGTACGTTTTCTCCAAAATGATTTAGTCATTTCTTGAAAATTGTCATTACTCTTATTTTCAGTTAAAAATTCAGTTAAAAGTCAAGTTAAAAATAATTTAAATTTTTTATTAGCTTTCCTCTCTTTTAATATATAATATCAAGCACTTGCTATACAACATGAAATGTTTATTTTCTGAGACACTTTGATATACGCATACGCATTACATCTAAATTATAAAGCTGTGAACGATGTTACATCGGATACTTTGCATGAAATAAAAGTGATGTACTGCGGCTACTAACGCTTCGAGAAGATTTTTGACAACACTCAAGGAAGGAAAGGAGAAAAAAAACAACATCGACAAGACAGATGCGAGTGCGCCACTGTTTTTTGCGAAAAATACGAATTTCAGCGATAACATGGCGCGTTATGTACGTGTTCAGCGTAGTGAGACCAAAAAGAAAACGTGTTTCGAGCTCGATTGCAGACAATTGCGTCCCACACTACACACGCGATACCCACGAGGCTAGTTTTTTTGGATACAAAAACTTTAACAATAAATTCGAGGAACGCGTACACGTAAAAATGTCGAGGAGTCTCTTTGGCGTGAAATAAGTACGCCATAAGATGACTAAAAGTTTAGGTATATTCGTTTGTTATAATCAGCACTCAAATGGAAAAACCACTGTCAATGGTACAGAGTTTCCTCCTAAAAATGCTATTGTTATGTATTTTTATTATAATACAATAACCTATGATTTTTGAATAAATATGAGAATTATTTATATTAATGCTGCTTTTAATTTTTTCAAAATTCTATGAACCTTAAAATATTCATAAAATTTAACGGTCGTGTCTAAAACAATTGTACTAAAAAATGAGTAAAGAAGTATAAAAATACGTAATACTTCTTGATTAGTATTTTTCATTTACTTTTATTTACATTTTGATGTATGCCGATAATTTATGCCATCACTGACATATTATGGCGTTAAACGCAAGATGGCGAGAGTCAATTGAAGTTATAAACACACGATCAAAATAAATAAGTTTGATAGATATTAAGCTGCTTGGTTTTAAATGAATTAACAGAATTTTCTTTTCTCTTTTTCTCCTGTAATTTGCGTCATTCGTTTTTCATAAAAATGATTTCTAATAGTGTATCACTTCGGAAAAGTCTATTCATTTTGATTTTCGCACTTCACCGTTGCAATTCAACTCTCACGAGTAAGATTAAGTCTTGCAAATATTTTCTTCTCCTCGGCGATGCTTTGTTTTGCTATTTGCTCTTTTTATTTACAACGCCTAAGCTGCTGGGGCGCCCGAGAGCTGGAGAAAAAGTACGTAGCTCGGAAATGTGTATAAACCCGCGGCAAATTATGTATTGACTCGGGCACCGTAAATTACCATCGGCACCGCGGTGCTCAGCAAACGGCAGTATATAGCAGCAACGTTCAGTACTTACACCTAGTCGCTACTGTATACAAGTGCATTTCTCCACGATGATATTTATAGGGCTGCAAATCGATCCACATGATTTCTTTCTCCCTTTCTTTTTTTTTTTTTTGCTTCTTTCAGGCAAGTAATAATTATAATCGGATGACTCGACGCACGGTGAAGAAACGAAGGAAATCTATCGAGATCCTAATCGACGACAAAAGCGCTGCATATTCCATGTGTACGCGCTTGCATGACTTTATCGCGAATAGGTTCGATTCTCGCGCACGCATGCTGGTTATATCGTACAATAAAGTCGCGAAGTTGCGCGTCAATGCGTCGACAAACGGAATGTACGTATTTTACGATTGTCGTCTCGTTACACGGCTACACGGCTCGTGTATATATATAAGTTGTACGGATACTCGGCTCTTCTCTACTTTTATGCTCGGTGCGCGCTGACTGACGCCTGCTATCGCGATTGTTACATCGCTGGGTGATTTTCCCCGGGAAATCGACCTATTTCATTCAATAAAATTTCTATTGACAAAATATCACGCGCTCGAGTTGCAATCGTGATATTTTCATTTCTTCACTGTGAAAGGATTTAATTTTCGCACGATCACAATAAAAATTGTTATGATTTTTTTCACAATTTGTTCGAGCCAATTAACTGAGTTATTGAAAAAAAGTTATACCTGATGTAATAAGAGTAAAACTTAAATTTCAATGAAAATAACTCGATCGCCTGTTTGTTATAAATATCTTGTCCTCGAGTCCGTGGATTAGAGTTTATAAAATGTAATGCATAATATGCTGCGAAATAACTTTTTACCAGCTGAGCGATTATATCATGCAAATAGAACGAAAGTATCTCATATGCCTTTTTGATTGAGTATTTAGTTAATCCTAGACCATGAAAAGCTCGTTCAATTAAAGTATCCCCGGCTTATATAAGTTCATTTACCTCGGTTCTGAGCATTTTTATGATACCTTCATTTTACACTTTGTTACAAGCTTTATTCGTGTCTCGACGTTTAAAAGTTCACCGCGCACTTCGAGGTACGAAATGACGGCGCAGGTATTTAAAAGTAAAAAGCAGCTCACTCTCTCTCGTCTGGTTCAATTAAGGTTCATAATTACAATGCCGCTCTAAACGTTGAATTATAAATTAAAACGAGTGGGCGAATTTCATTTTAATAATATATAATATTTGTAGTTATGTTTACTCTAATTTTACATTATTTGGGTTTAGGAATGCAATCCGATTAATAATTTTCGACCAAATGAATAGATAACGTGATTCGATAATCAATTACTCAGAGTTTGTAAGTCAGTATAAATTATTTACGCATAGGTTCTTACGAAAATGGTAAGTGATTTAAAAAGTGTTCCTAGTTTTTCTTCTTTATTGAAATTTTCTTGAATTCGAGACTGAGCCGACCTCAAATATTTCAGCACTCACCATGCATGCAAGCTTCTACACCGTAGTGTAAATGTAGGGCGCGCGTGAAAACGAATTTAGTTTACCTTCATTTGGTTCGGCGAAAAAGAAATTCAAGCTTTCTCAAGTAACTAACAAGGACCATCCATCAAACGGTAAATTTTCGTAATTTTTATCTTTGAGCCAAGAGAAAAAAAAAAGAAAAAAGATATAAAAACATCTATCCATGCATAAAGTTTGCATTTACGATTCTGTATATCGTGTAACACCTTATTCAAATTCTTTCTCTCGCTTTATTATCATATTCTGCTGGCATTAACGGATATATTCTCGGGCACATAAGCACGTATACTCGGTGCCTTTGCTCGCGCGCGGGGGCGTCTATATAAAAAAATCCTTTGAAAACTGTGAGCACTTTGAAAAGCTGCAGCTGCAAAGATTTTCTCTTAGCCTCGCAGCTCGCTTCTTATGTCTCACGAGGTTACCATTCTCGAACGAAACTTGAATACTTTATAAGCACTATAACTCGTGTACACGCATTATGTACATATACGTGCAAGCACATGGGGTTTTTTTCACACGTTCGTTTACAAGTGGACAAGGAAAAAAAAAGGCTTATACTTCGTTGTTTCCCGTGAAAATATTCACACAATTTTTTGGGTAGACATGCAACTCGTGTTACTTTTTGTCGGATCAAAAGGTTTTAGTAATTTTACAAAGGGTATTTTATTAAAATTAAAAACACAAAGCTTAAAAAAAAACTTTTGCTTATTGAAACATCAAAAGTTAACACGAAAATTTTTTAATTAAAGAATATGTGGTAGAGATTTTTCAACAATACTCTGGAGATCGATTTGTTACACTAATGAAAATCACACATGAGTGCACAGACGTATATGCATTCACCATCGTGCGCAAACATTCATAAATGAAGATATAATCCTAATTGTTCATAATCATCAACAAGAATTTATGCCTTTTATCGCAATTATACCGAACATCTACGGATTTTCACTCGTAATATGAATACCACCGAATGGAAGGAGCTTAATGTGAATTTGTTATTATAGGTTTGGCTGACAGTAATAGTGATGGTGAGTAGTTATTGGATTCTACCAATATACAATTTTCAGTTTTCAAATATCAGAAAAAATTTTAAATTATCTTACTCCACCAGTTATATCCAACAATAAATAACTAATTTTTTCAAACCCGATTTGATTTATACTGTTGCTTTTACTTTGTCACTTGCAGATTTACAAATAATTGTACTCGACATCTAGTGGTGAGAAGTTAAACTTGTACCATCGCATTTAAAGTGAGTTGAATTGATAACCAAGCTAATTTTTCCAAACAGTTGTATAGCGATCGACCGGTCAGAGACCGAGTAATGACGTCACATGACGTATGTATATGCGCACAGGCGTTATAGTGTATAAAGTGCCCGTCTCGCAGCTTCGCTCCATGTAAGCGATTCGGAGCACAGACAGACTTGTATAAGCGCGCTGACAGAGCAGACCGCTCCGCGACTACCACTCGTAATAAAAACCAGTACTCGCTGACTTTAAACTACCCGGCTCCTATTTCTTCACCCTCGCCCGTCAACCTCGTCCTCTAGGCCGCGAGCTGTGACGGTAACACACACAAAGGCCTACAGTAGTAATTATCAAATCATTTTTAATACGTTTAATATGTAAGGAAAAATCTACAAAACCAGGTCAATAAATGGTCATGTACTTCAAAGCATTTGATAAGTAATTTTTGGGGGAAGTAGGCTATTATCAATTCTAGGCATTACTACTAGTTATAAATTGTCATCAACCACGCCTGAAAAAATATGAACCCGCAATTTCAAGTGTGTTCTGTCTTTAGTTGAAAAATAATACTTTATAATAAATTATTCACATATTTACGGCAAACAAGTAAAGCGCCAGTTTACGTAGCTCACCGCTGCTGACAATAATCGTAACAAAAACATTCACGTGGTGCAATCCCATACGTGAGATACGATTAGCGACGTCAAGCGGCTGCACACCAGGCGATGTTGTGTGTTTTATCGTTTTTATAAGGGTCGTACTATACCTGTACTCACCGATCTCCGGTATGTCGGTGTCATGATCTTGTTGACCTCGTAACTGCAACAGAAAATGAAAAACTCGATAAGTTGGCTTATTCTTTTCTTCTTCGTCGTTATTTTGAAATTGCTTGCGTATATATGTTATTTGTGGTATATTGACACTAAATTAAAGTGAAAAATGTAACCAAAACTCGGCGAAGCGTATAGCTCTTATTTGCGAGCAATGAGTATAGGTAAGTCAGATGGGATTGAAAGAGGCGTTGTCACAGTACAGGGGTAGATGAAATAGCTGTTGAACATGAATTGTGGTTGGCACTTCCCTCAGAGTTTGAAATTTTTCCAAATTTTTCTGGCGTCTTTTTTGTTTACCAATGTATCATTTTTATGAGAAACATTATGCAAAAAATGTATTAAAAAGCAATAAGTAAAAATTTGAAGAATAATTAATTAGTCTCTGTTTCGTTGTAATAGATCATAATCTTTTTACATAGTTATTAGTAAAAAGTTTCGAAAAAAAATTATCTCTCCGCAGCCTGAACATTGTCACATTTTTTAGTGCGCTGCCTCCGTGACCTCCAATGTAAAAATCTGATTATTTTACGCGGCTGATGATGAATAACGTTTTCTTACAACACTCTAAATTTTTACGTCACATTCGTTACGCTCCACGAATGTTTCAATTATAACTGAGTTTTTTCCTTGGAGTCTGTCGCACGAGGAGCGCTGCGAGCTGTTATACCTTTTTTTTTTAATTTTTCAAGCGCTAGTTCGTGAAAAAGACCTACCGGAGTAAGCGTATGTCTGGGTTTACACACGCGTTCAGACAAAAGAAACTGCGTCCCGAGCAATAGTCTATTTCGTTATATACGTTTTTCCAGTGGGTTGAAAAAGATTATTTAAATTTTTTTTCTGCTTAGTATGCAAATCGGAGTTTCACTTTAGAGCTTACACACAATGTTTTTGTTAAAGAATTAAAAAGCAATATTTTTATTATTCAGCGAAAGCGGGTCGATTGTAAAATTAAAACTAGTGCTCATTCGTAGCTTTTTGAGTAAAACGAAAAATTCGTGACTTTCGGGCGTCGCATTCCAATTAATGCCTTTTGAGCTTTTTAACGACGATTTCGACAGCAGTTTTCTCTCGTATCTGTTGCATCCACGTCTCTCTTCTTGACTTCGATGTCAATTTGTTTTTTCCTAACAACTTTATTTGCTTTTCGATCATGTTTGTCAAGTGCATAAAAGAGTTTTGGATTACAGGTCGTAGAGTGAATTTGATCATTGTCAAAAATTCTATGAATGGAAATAATAACTGCGCTCAACATTTTATTGCTAGTTTTCAACAAACGAAAAAGTTTCTAGGATATCGAAGGTCCATTAGAACTAAACATGTATGAACGAGAAATGTACATTTTTACGGTTGATACATATTTTACCAGGTGCTTTGATTTATACGATTATTTTGACTTTGCCACTTGCAGATTTACAGATAAAGGTACTCGCCATCTAGTGTAGGAAGCTCGGAAGGCATTTTGGTATTCAAAGTGGTTGAAAGCTGGTCTAATATTGTTGAAACTATTAAATAGTAATGTTTAGGTCATTTAAAACGAGCTTAATATTTTTAACATAATTGTATCAGAAAAATGATCGAATAAACAAATCAATTCATTTGGCAATGTATTCAAAATATTTCAAATGGTAATTTGTTGGTCATTAGGCCATTATTAATGTTGAGAATTTCTACCAGGGAGTGAGAGTTCTTACAAGTGACAAATTGACGATATTTTCAACGCACGCTCGAGTAGTAAGTACCATAGCGATCTTGGCCGCAGTATTCAACACTCGAAAACTGCCTCGCATAACATCTCGAATCATTGTATCGATCAGCGCGTGCTCGGTCCGTGCACATGCCTCGCAGTTATTCGATACATAACCCGAATCGAGGGCTCATCGGAATGTAAATCATTCACGCTTACACGAGAATCATTTCTCACGATCCGTTCTCGCGGGTGAAGATCTCTCCTCGACGAGCTCTCCAACTTTAACCCTTACGCCTCGTCGACGACGTCTTATCGTCGGAGGCACTTTCGTGGAACTCGATGCACGTATACCTGATCTATATATACGTACGTAACCTTAAGCCCCTAGTATCATCATCAATCTTATATTGATCCCAGGCACTACTGGCGCGCGCGGTTAAGCTAATTTTTCGCCTCGCCCGTAGTAGGATATATATTATAATCTATTTTTCTCCGCGTGTAGCGTCGTCGCGTCGTATATAAAAATGTAAAAAAGAAAAATGGAATAACACGTTTACGCGCGCGCGCGCACGCAGTATCCCCGCTGGTTGTATTAAAATAGGATTCGCGACTTGCGCGTATTAAATAACTCGTAAGGAGTGCACTTCTATTGCGAGTAAAGAAAGAAAATAAAAAAAAGAGAAAAAGTCGCAAAAGCGCGTTTTGTTTCTTCTTTTTTTTTTATTTATTCTCTTATTTTGCTGCCTTTTGTACTAGCTGGCACTCACCACTTAGTCCTTTGTCAACGCGCAACTTTACGTTGTAGCATGTGTTTTTTTTTTACCTTGAGCTCTCTCGCGAGTGATTAAAAGCCTCGGTAAAGCGTTGAGGTAGAGGTAGAGAGCGACTAGGCTTATTTAATAGTTCGCTACCTACGCGCTGTCCCGGACTACTACTGTACCGCTACAACAACAACAGCCAGCAGCAGCAGATTATGAATGAAGCGATAAGCTCGACACCTGCACAAGAACGAGCGATAATTGCGATCTCAGAATATAATTCAATTCCGTTTCGTAACCTTTTTGATTTTTTTCTCGTTATTTTCCACCCCTTTTATAAGTCACTGTGCCGAGTTTGCACTTGAAAGCTCCGCGCGCGCCAATATGAAGCTCTCATCAGGAGCTTCTCTCTGCCGTTACTGCTCTGCACTGGCCGCCGTCGTGCCTTTTCTTCGAATTTAACGGCAGTGATAATAGTAACGATCCTTACAGCCATTGGCTCGTTTTTCAATAGAGACATTCTGTTCTCTCTCTCTCTACTTCTCTTTCAGCTGCTCGAGTCGAGTCGAGCGTGTCTGCGCTAGCAGAGCGAGCTTTGTATTCTCCTCCCGCATGTTCGCCGTAGCTTCTACTGCTGCTGGTACAAGCGTGAAAGTCCCTACTGGGGCGGATATTAAACGCGCAAGACTCAAATGACTCTGTAACGAAGTGCTCGTGTTATTTTCTCCCTTTTTCACGCGCTGCTGGCGAACTGCAGCGCACACACACCATCGAAGTGGTTGCAGAAAATTGAAATTTGAGGTCGTCGATTATTATCAACGTCAACGAATCGAGCGAGCGAACGAGAGAGAGAGGGATGAACTGGTCGACCAAAGTTTGATCAATTTCGAGTGAACGATGCAGTACGCACACGTGAAGCACTGTATAGCTATAGACATATCCTACGCACATGGGAATTCAAAGTAATTGTTGCGCGCGCGGGTACATGCCTCTCGCGTACGTACTACATGGCATAACATGGCACTTGTAAGGCACAGGGATTTGGAGTTTTCATGTAAATCAAGCAGTCACACACACACACACACACACACACACAAGCTGTTACGCGCAAGTTTCTGTAATTTCTCTCACCCGACATAATTGTTCAATTAATTTTCGACAATTAGCTTGCAGGGTACAAAGCGCTCGTTCTCAACGGGCTGTACACATTACATCGCGCACGCCGTGAAAATTCGATTGAGTATTCAAGAAACGCATTAAACATATTTTCACGTTCGCGGCGCGGTGTAAAATATAATAAAAACGGTCGCGAAATTTCATAAGCAATTTGACACGTTGCTACTGTCGGCGCGCATATATGCATGCATGCACGCGTGTGAAGCTATACTCGTAATTGTAAATGATGCGATACGTATGGTGTGTGGCGTTAATTTCGCGCGCCCGCAGTTTATTTCGTGCGAGCATATTGTATATAGCCGGGCAAAAGCTCGGCTCACAAAACAGACACGTTGCTACACACACCCAAGCGGCCTCGTGTATGCACATAAACACGTACTATTACTACTACTACTACGACGTTGGTAGTAATATGAACTTCGCGAAGCTGCGAAGTTTACTCCCAAACACAAAGTTACTACGATACTAGCTCGCTAGCTAGCTGAGCCGAGCTTCTACACTCTATATATGAGTGATTCTGACTAACTTTTAAAATAACGCCTAAAGAAATTTTTGATGAAAAATTTAGCGGCACAGTATCCAGAATGAATTTTTCTTGAATATTATCAACAAAGAATCCCAAAAATAACTTTGGGCTTTATTTTCCTCCATAGTCCATTTGGGAAACCCGATTTAAATGTGGGTCAAAATAAAACTTCTTCAAATTTTCGAATGACACCGATCTAGATGCGCTTTTGATATGTTATAGTACATGGTAAAAAAATCCTAAAGCCAAAATTTTACTCCCCATCCCCCCCTCCNGAGAGAGAGAGAGAGAGAGAGAGAGAGAGAGAGAGAGAGAGAGAGAGAGAGAGAGAGAGAGAGAGAGAGAGAGAGAGAGAGAGAGAGAGAGAGAGAGAGAGAGAGAGAGAGAGAGAGAGAGAGAGAGAGAGAGAGAGAGAGAGAGAGAGAGAGAGAGAGAGAGAGAGAGAGAGAGAGAGAGAGAGAGAGAGAGAGAGAGAGAGAGAGAGAGAGAGAGAGAGAGAGAGAGAGAGAGAGAGAGAGAGAGAGAGAGAGAGAGAGAGAGAGAGAGAGAGAGAGAGAGAGAGAGAGAGAGAGAGAGAGAGAGAGAGAGAGAGAGAGAGAGAGAGAGAGAGAGAGAGAGAGAGAGAGAGAGAGAGAGAGAGAGAGAGAGAGAGAGAGAGAGAGAGAGAGAGAGAGAGAGAGAGAGAGAGAGAGAGAGAGAGAGAGAGAGAGAGAGAGAGAGAGAGAGAGAGAGAGAGAGAGAGAGAGAGAGAGAGAGAGAGAGAGAGAGAGAGAGAGAGAGAGAGAGAGAGAGAGAGAGAGAGAGAGAGAGAGAGAGAGAGAGAGAGAGAGAGAGAGAGAGAGAGAGAGAGAGAGAGAGAGAGAGAGAGAGAGAGAGAGAGAGAGAGAGAGAGAGAGAGAGAGAGAGAGAGAGAGAGAGAGAGAGAGAGAGAGAGAGAGAGAGAGAGAGAGAGAGAGAGAGAGAGAGAGAGAGAGAGAGAGAGAGAGAGAGAGAGAGAGAGAGAGAGAGAGAGAGAGAGAGAGAGAGAGAGAGAGAGAGAGAGAGAGAGAGAGAGAGAGAGAGAGAGAGAGAGAGAGAGAGAGAGAGAGAGAGAGAGAGAGAGAGAGAGAGAGAGAGAGAGAGAGAGAGAGAGAGAGAGAGAGAGAGAGAGAGAGAGAGAGAGAGAGAGAGAGAGAGAGAGAGAGAGAGAGAGAGAGAGAGAGAGAGAGAGAGAGAGAGAGAGAGAGAGAGAGAGAGAGAGAGAGAGAGAGAGAGAGAGAGAGAGAGAGAGAGAGAGAGAGAGAGAGAGAGAGAGAGAGAGAGAGAGAGAGAGAGAGAGAGAGAGAGAGAGAGAGAGAGAGAGAGAGAGAGAGAGAGAGAGAGAGAGAGAGAGAGAGAGAGAGAGAGAGAGAGAGAGAGAGAGAGAGAGAGAGAGAGAGAGAGAGAGAGAGAGGTCGAGAGAGAGAGAGAGAGAGAGAGAGAGAGAGAGAGAGAGAGAGTGAAAATCCTGCGTGTGTCATGTCCGGGGCTGGCTCGTGGCATTCATTTTCGACGAACTGTCCACCATGATGTTCAACTTGAGTTATACGAATGAGTACGTCAGAAATATAAGTTATAGGAGATCTCGCGGGGTGATGCACATAAAACTTTCCTCTTTCTCACCTACTATCTCTTTCTAGCATAGATTATACGGATAGATTATACGGATTATAGGTGCGTATATAATATATATTATAAAATAATATACGCTCTAGTTTGATTGCATCAACTTTCGGGCGATGCAAGTGCTATATTATGGATCGTCATCGAGATCAAAGTTGCGTCACGCGCACGTGAACAAAGGAACGGGTACGGTAATGTTTGGTGGTGCAGTTCGCTAGCAGCAGCGCACATGGGTATGCTAAGTAGCCATATAATAATGGTGTGCGTGCACCAGTTTGGCAAAGCAAACATCCCAAACGCGTGAGCGCGCGCCTGGGCAATGATAACGATGACAACGACGAGAGAGAGAGAGAGGCGCAGCGACCCGCGCAAGCCGCGACTAATAACGCACACATCGATAGGCCGGAAGTGCCGTAGTATATGGGCTATTTCACAACAGGTGTTGCCGGCCCAAAAAATGAAGTTGAAACTAACCATTTACTCTTCAAGAACACAATGAAAAATGAAAATCCTGAACGTCACAGCCCCCTAGGTCCAACCCTCATGGATCTACAGGGGCTCGAAGTTGGATTTTAGGATATTTTGCTGGTTACTCTGCTTTTCATATGCACCCTAAATAGGAAATATTCCTGTTGTGGAATAGCCCATATATACTGCGTGCACAAAATTACGCCGCGAGTTGCGTAGAACTGAACGCGTCCAAAGCTAAATAATTGATTATCGTAGTTTATGTGCGTAGTGCATGGCGCTGTGCAGAGCACTACAATACAAACGATATATATTTACCATTGCGAGCTTGCGTCTCGCACTATTTGATGCTGGGGCAACGCGTGCACTCGACCGAATTACGCTTCATAATATAAACATTAAACATTTTTATTATTCTCGTTTGGAAAAGTATTCGATAAATAATGATTCATCGCGTCGAGTGTCACGATCCGTATACGAGAGATGCTTCAGCGTGATAGTAGTAGTAGTAGTTCTACAACGTCGAACTCCCTGCGCGACTACTATACTGCCATACTACACTTCATCTTATCGATTGCAAGCTCCCTCTCGGTACTGCTTACACAACGTATATAATGCGCCTTATCATATACACAGATGCGAGAGTGAGAGAGAGAGAGACAGACACGTCGAGGTGTGCCTGGCGAATCTGGCGATGCCACACATAACGGCAGCACTCATGTAGTAGTAGGTAGCTGCTGCGCTAGAAGTTACTTCCTCTTTACGGGCGACAGCTGATAAGAGTGCAATGAATGGTAAACACGACTTTTTTGTTTTAATCTTCGCCACTCGTATTTGCGCTCTCGATATCAAGACGCGATTATACCTGGGTAAACATCTGCTGCTGCCGCCGCGCAGCAGGTATATGATTTTTTGTCAAAGTGATTGGGTTGTAATTGCACATGCTTGCAATAATTGTTGTTATCGGCACGATAACTTGGGCGCAGAAATTTGTGTTATTTCAGTTTCAGCGTTTTATTATTATTTTTTTTACTTTTCAATTCGTCAAACGATTTCTTCGGGTATAAGCCTCTATCGATGACAGGGATCTTTTATCTATCGTTACCCTCGTTCATTTGCGGAAGACACTGGGCTTTATCGTCCCCGGTAACGGGCTCTCTCTCTCTCTCTCTCTCCCTCTTGCTACATTTGCAAGTTAAATCTTGACCGAATAACCGGGACTAGGGCTAAGAGTTAGATTAATACCGTATAATCTTGCAGATAAAATTGATGGTATCAATCTTCTTCGTAGTTAACCCTCGGCCCGAAACATTTACCCGTGTGCTGCCGTGTGCGCGATAAAAGTTGAAAAATAGGTGGAAGTTTTTTTTCTTCTTCGTCTTTTTTTTCTTAAAACTCTGACTTTTATGTTATTTCTAATAACATCCTGAATCGCACGCGATGATTTGCCCGATAACGAGACACGATCACGGCCAATGAGTGTCGTAAAATTTGGCAAGTGCAGAGAGTGTTGTGACGCATCGAAGCGTAATGCTCTTTATTATCGGAGCATTTATAAAAAAATGCGAATAATCTGTCGATAAAATTTCTGCTGCTGTTTTAAGCCGGTTAAAGATCAAACGAAGCAAATATCCGTTTTTAATTAGCATTTTTTTTTTCAATGTATCGATCCACCTGTTCTCGTGTCATTGAACAAGAAACGCCGAAAAAAAAACGCAAAAAACAAAAAGCACTCAAGCTTCTAGTTGGGGCAAGAAACGTTTACGCTCGGTCTCGCGCCATTCGCACTTTGGAAAACCACCCATCATTTTCCACGCGTTCGGCAAGAAAATACATCATAATAGTAACGACGTAAGCTCTTGCTCGTTGCGGGGTGGTTGGGTCGCGGCCAAACTAATACGCAAGAACTGCGCGCGTATGCAAGCCATCGCCGTACACATATAATGTTTACTGGGGGCTAAGGATTTATCGAGCGCGCGACTGCAGCAACAGCAGCAGCTCCTCTCTCTTGGTCTCTTGTGTTTTTACGCTCTTAATCTCGGGCTGAAATCTCGATGCCAAGGAGCAGTAGTAGCAGCAGCAGCAGAAGTGCATGTGTATAGCGTATAACCGCGCGTCCGGAAGATTACGCCGAGCTGCGAGCAGATTGTATAAAACAAACGATCACTTGACTCCTTCTGTGCCGCGTGCGTATGAACTGCGCGAGAGGCATATTATGAATGCCTCGTAAATTTAACAATCTCCGCAACGAGTCATTGCGTTATATGCGAATGTGCGTACAACGCCGAGGATGCTGCGCGGGGAGGAGAAAAAAAAACGACGGACGTTTCAGCTGTGCGCTATCTTGCGCGTCTTCGCGAAAACCTTTGCTTTACGATCGCGAATGAATAGAGTCTCATTTTTTACTGCGCCATGTGTACGGTTTGAGGCATCTCTATCTGACTTGGCAAAAAATCGTGGGAAATCGATTTCAAACGCGATTATTCCATCATGCGTACGTAAAAAAAATAAGGAAAAAACAATCAGTCGACGCAATCGCTCTGCTGCGAATGCTCTTCGCCAGCGTAAGAGAAAATAGATGCTGCTGCTGCTGCTCCACTCGATCAACTGTCCGTAACGTGCTTAGTCCGCTCTGAAATAACGTGGTACACACGGTATAGCTCAATTTTTTGCGAGAAAAAGAAACGTACAAAATATAGACAATTGGACCGCTAAGGCAATTCGCTTTTTAATCGAACCAATCGTCACTAATTAAAATAGCTAGTTGATCAACTGAGGCACTGGCAAAAAATGCAAATAGCGCCGGGATTAAGAACTTGTGCGCACTTCGTGCCCATATACTTTATTACCCAGTTCAGAGCTCTCACTGTGCAGAAACTTTTAGATGAGAAAGACTTGTATTTACTCTTCATTGCTCTCTCTCTCTCTCTCTCTCTATATATATACGTATTTCCCGGATCAAGACGAGTGCTTATATATTTCCAGCGTAATACGTATTATGCGTGTAGAGCAACACGCGTTATATATCTACCACCTAACCTACCTTGGCGCGGTATAATTATTCTCTTTGACTCGAGAGGTAGTAGAGTGAGCCGAGAGAGCGGCAGGTAAACGGGCGGAGCCAGATGTGCAGCGCAGTGATCAAAATCAACCTAATTCGCTCTTGAGGGAGCGCCGAGCTACGTATAACGATGGGTACGAGAGGCAGTGTTTGAATGCCTCGCGGTGTAATCCCCCTGCGCGATGTATTGAATTGTCTAGAGGCAAAACGAGATACGGCTATTGGCGTTATGTAAAATGTTTTTGCAGCATCAATTTGTCGCCGACTTTTTTTAATTAATGGCTCATTAACTTTTCGCGGAGTAATGGAAGGGGAGGATAAAAATATTTTGTGTTGCTGTGATTTAAAGAATGTGACGTGTTAGAAAATAATATAATCGGGAATCGATAATAACATGCATGTATGGCATTGCCTTTACGGGGCATATTCGTCGAAAGACATCCAAATAAATGATATGCAAATATTAATCAAACAACATAATCGCAATCTCGATCGAATGAGTAGAAATCAATCGATCTTATAAAAACTCGGGACAGCTAATCATCGGTATTACTCGGGATTCTACTTGATTAGCGCCACCATCATCATGAAAATCGCCACGATTGTTCTGTTCGCCTGCTTGATCGGCATGGCTCTCTGCACACCACCTCGGGGTGGAAGAGGCGGTAAAGGCGGTGCCGGTGGAGAAGGCGGTCGAGGGGGCAACGGGGCAATCGCCGGCGATGGTGGCAGGGCTGGCAACGGTGGTCGTGGTGGACGAGGTGGAAATGGAAAGATAGCCGGTGACGGTGGCGATGGAGGCAGAGCCGGCCGCGGCGGACGCGGAGGTGACGGAAAAGTCGCTGGAGCTGGTGGCAACGCCGGAAGAGGAGGCGCAGGAGGTCGAGGTGGCAATGCTCTTCGAGGATAAATGTTACGTAGTAATATTTACAGACGACAACAGTATTGTTTAACGCTACATAGTAGTAGTAGATTTTAAGATGATACTTCCGACATCTATGAGATGAATGAAAATAAAATAACTTAAAAAATGAGAAACCATGAAATTTTAATTAATACACACAAACTCCATAATCCACTGATTTATTGTTAATATTTTTTTATCAGGGGATAATATAAAATACCGGAAAAATATTATATCTTTCAAATGATTATTATTTTAATTTATAAAATTTGTAAAAATGATAGTGTTTATTTAAAAAAAAACTATGAAAATTACTGCAACCAATACATTCAAGTTTACTGTATATACTGAGGTACGAGGTAAGTATACAATGCAGGTAAGTAAAAAATGCAAGTATACAAACAGCTGGTTATTCTAAATTAATAAACATTTAAATTTCCTAATACTGGTAGGCAAATTAATCGAGTCTTTTACCCTAACTTTCTACTAATGGTAGTTCAACAAAGATATTAATCAGGTGCGTAATAATGCATTACATAACCGAGGTAAAAAGTTGTCTGTATGACATGAGGGCCAGTTTGCAGTCCTGGCGTAGCAAGGATTGCATTGACACTACTACAGTACTGTATATTTTCTATCATAGCAAGCTGAAAGTCGATTTTACGTGGAATGTAAAAACTGGGCATAAGTCGCATAAAAAATGCAATGCAATAGCATGCAAAAAATATAAAAAAAGAAAAGTTATTTATTATTTTAAATTCCAGAAAATATTTTTTTGGTGAGATTCCACAAATTTGATTGATTTAAATAATTCCTGAATATTTTTCAGGATGTTATTTGAAATAAAACAAAATTCTTCACTGTCGAAGACCGTCGTGATATTTTTTAATTTCATGATATTTAATCAAGTGTTACAAACTCTCAAATAATGCTCATTAGTAATGAGCTCTGATTGTTTAAAGCATAATATGAAAAATTTGTAAGTATTCATAAATTTAAAAAATACATGAACTTGACCCTAAAAAAAATTGTTATATTTGAAATATAAATGACTTTTTTTTCAATAAAAATAATCCAAATCAATTTTATTATTTAATGTATTTTTATTTGATCAGTCTATACAAATATTTGTGGCTGTACATTATAACAAGTTTGAACGAAAGTTCCTATTCTTCCTGGCTCTAGGCAGATCCACCACGTCCTCCCTTGCCACCAAGACCACCTCGTCCACCATTACCGGCTACTTGGCCGTCACCTCCACGTCCACCACGTCCAGCTTTGCCACCATCACCACCCCAACCAGCGTCATTACCGTCACCGCCGGCACCACCAAGACCACCGTTTCCAGCGTCACCACCGTCACCGGCTAATTTTCCGTTTCCTCCACGTCCACCGGAGCCTCCACGACCAGCGTGGCCACCATCGCCGGCAACGTCTCCGTTTCCTCCTGCTCCACCTTCTCCACCTTCACCACCACGACCACCTCTTCCTCCTCTGGGTGGGTCGCAGAAAGCGACTCCAATGAGGCAAACGAGAAGTAGGATTGTGAAAGTTCTCATGGTGACTGCTGTGTTGATTACTGCTTGCTTGGACGAGTGAACTTTGAATGATGCTTGGATTGTGAATGATTCGGTTTTTATATCGAGCGAGCTATCAGTTTTCATTTCAACTAGTCAAATGTAGCCCCACCTGTTTTTGATCTGCATAATCGGATGTTATGAAAACATACAGCAGCTAAATTATTCAAGAGTCACATTGAAAACGGAAATGTGTGCATACACTCGACTTACTTTGAGTCATCATGTAATGCGATATTGCATTGTTTATCAATTGTTTACGAGTCAAATATTCATTTTTAATTTATAAATTATCATAATAATAAAAATATTATTATCAACCCTTTACTGACAATGTCAAACTTATTCTAGTGAGTTACGGCTAAGATTTTCATTATTAACAATTTAAGGGGTGATACCACTCTTAGATTTCCAAAAAATCAATTCTTTTCATAAAAACTCTACTTCGATGTCAAGAGTGATACCTCAATAGTTATATAAAAGGGACGAAAATACTAAGATGCTGTATTTTTAATTTTTCTGCTGAGCTTTGCACGAGTTGAAAGTAGGTATGAAAACAATTTTTTAACACTGCGTGCGCGAAACATAGGCTTTCTAACCTTAAATTATCAGAAAACCCTAGTTTCTCTCAAGCAGGGTTAAAAAATATCGTTTGGAACTAGTCCGCGAAGAAGTTGACTCACCCAGGAGTCTTTACACCTTCGCTACGGTCGGGTGAAAACAACTCCTGGATGAGTCAACTGCTTCGCGCCCTTGTTACAAAATATACTATTGAATAACTTTTTCTCAACATTTTTTGAAACTTCCAGACAGACACGTCGGGAAGTATTGAATGGATTAATATGAGATTTTAAATAGATCTTTAATGTAAAATCTGTAAAGAAATTTCTTAAATTATAATAAAACTTAACTCACGCGGGTTTGTAAATCAGTGCACTTATACATGAAAAAATCCATAGTTACATCTTTTTTACGAAGTTAAGTAACCACACTGCAAGTAAAGGAAACCATTTTCATACCTCAAAGTCTTCAAACAATTCTGAAAGTACGTTTTCAAGCCTATAACAACTTTCTCTATGAGGGAGCAACAATTCACAAATACTTTGTATCACTTTTATATTTATGTTGTGCTCTACATTTTTTCCCCAAAATCGTTCTTCTTTAAGATGAAAACAAGCAAAGTTGAAAACTTGACGATAAGAAATTATTTAAATTATTTTTAGAAATCTTCGTTTTTAATTTTTACAGTTTTTATCTTGAGGAAAAAATCATAGCAACTTAGAAATTAGGGAGACCTAAAGGTAGATAGTTATATTCATGAAAAATAATACACATTAAGTAATGTACTCTGAATTTTGAGTGGAAAACCCCGTAATGTTTTCTCGAAATTTACGTCATTAACTTTCCGTTTTGATAAGAATATTTTTACATAAGCATTTATGATAATCGTCATAATTGGGTTCATTGATCTCAAAAAAGTATTATTGCCTTGAAAATTATGAGAACCATGAATGGTTATGACAACATATTAATGTTTCTATTGATGATGTGTTCTTATAAACATTCCATTTGTGTAGAATACAGATTTCACCTGTTATTGATATTTTTTTAACCGCAGCTTTGATACGCTATGATAAAACAACAAACAATATTGGAAGAAAACATTAATTGAGATACGACAAAAATTGTGAGTAAATCGTCATAAAATTGTGTATTTTCATTTCTTTCGAGCGTGCAGATTGAAAACAGGTGGGGATGGATTTGGCTAGTTCAATTGCATTAGCTGAAGACAGGTGCATTGATCGATATATATACCGACAGTTTCAAATTCAAAGCATCATTCAAAGTTCACTCGTCGAAGCAAGCAGTAATCAGTACAGCAGCCACCATGAGAGCTTTTACAATCTTACTTCTCGTTTGTCTCATTGGAGTCGCTTTCTGCGACCCACCCAGAGGAGGAAGAGGTGGTCGTGGTGGTGAAGGTGGAGAAGGTGGAGCAGGAGGAAACGGAGACGTTGCAGGTGACGGTGGCCATGCTGGCCTGGGAGGCAACGGTGGACGTGGTGGAAAGGGAAAAGTAGCCGGGGATGGTGGCGACGCTGGAAACGGTGGTCTTGGTGGTGCTGGCGGCGATGGTCGCGATGCTGGTTGGGGTGGAGATGGTGGCAAAGCCGGACGTGGTGGACGTGGAGGTGACGGCCAAGTAGCCGGTAATGGTGGACGAGGTGGTCTTGGTGGCAAGGGAGGACGTGGTGGATCCGTTCCAGTTAAACGTCACTAAAAAGTTTCGTTCTAACTTATCATAATGTACAGACACAAATATTTATATAGACTGATCAAATAAAAAAAAACAATATCTGAATAAAATTATTACATGGAGTAATCATTTATTTTTGAAATAAACTAACTGTTTTTTCATTATAAATTATTTGCTTATAGTTTTTCTTTTGGTGTAGTATAATTTATAGATGCTTCCGATGATTTGATGCAAAACTTTATAATTTTATAGATATGTCTTGTTATTAATTTATAAATTGTCAACCAACAGGGTGTCTTAAAGGCAATTTTCATGACGGGTTCCCGTAGTTATTGTTCAATAGTCAATAGAAGTCACCTAAATTACAAAACATAGAAAAAAATCTATAATTAATTGAAATCATCAATGTTTATAGTAAATTTAATTTTCCTTCATAGTATTATCAACACCATTCGTAGATTTTTCTTGTGCACATTTGATTGGCAGTTGAAGTTTGACTCTAATGCTTACATTTACTTAAAACATCCTTTCTATGAAATCTTGTTTACAATTATTTCACCCAATCATTTCATAAAATCGATGATTATGTTAATAAATGTAAAAGTCGTAAGAATATTGATCATTTGAATTTCAAGTTTGAAGAAAGGATTCAATATTCTACGATTTTTCTATAATATGTACCGGGATATTTTAACGAACTGGTACTGTACCATAAATCATAGTCAACAATTACATCGGCAACTATATGCACAACATATTTCATGGAAAACCATTGCTTCTCGAGAACAACAAAACGTGTTTCACCTTATTACGAATATTAAAATTTTAGTTATAAACCAGTTGATAAATGATTAATATACCAACCGATATTTTACGATTAGAGGCTAGAAATAGAAGCTAAAAATGTTGGATTTTTAGTAATTAAAATTAATTAGTACTCAAATTCATTAATAAATTGACCAAAGCGAAATATTTTAATAATATTCCTACATCAGCCCGTGATAAATCTTCAAACTAAAACGAACGAGTTCATAACATATCTTTATCGAGTAATTTTTATACATATTTTGAAAAAAAACCGTGGATTGTAGGATTGTAAGGAGAACATGTCAAAACGAATCAATAGATTGGCGGAGCAATAAACTTTATTTATTAGTATCATGTTAACGCAATCTTAATAAGTCAAGTTCAATTAACAGAGAATTTTTATTGAGCTGAACCTCCACGTCCACCGCGACCACCACGACCACCCCGGCCACCATTGCCGGCTTCTTGTCCATTTCCACCTCGTCCACCTTTTCCAGCTCTACCTCCGTCACCACCATCACCAGCTATTTTTCCATTTCCACCGCGACCACCGTCACCACCATTGCCGGCATTGCCACCATCACCAGCAACTTGACCGTTTCCACCAGCGCCTCCATCGCCACCTGCACCTCCTTTTCCACCTTTTCCACCTTGTGGAGGATTGCACATGGCAACGCCAATGATGCAGATGAAAAGTACCAAAGTCAAAGTCTTCATGTTGGTAGTTCTTTTTGCGTTTCGAATTGCAAACTGAATGAATCTTTTGACGAAACCCCAATTTATAAGTGTATCAAAAAATGTATAAGCCGGAAAATGTATCGTTTATATGCGAAAGATTATTATTTATATTTTTATTATAAATATTGAAAGATAAAGATATGTTACAATTCTTTTCTTCAGTTGTAAAACAGTATTTTATTTAAACAAGTACGCATTGAAAATAATCTTTTAACAACGAATAAAATAATTTGTTGAAAATCTTCCCAATTCCTTTTTTTGTTTCACCATTGAAAGTAGAACTATTTCATGGTTCACTTTATTGGAAAAAAAAATTAATTAATCATGAAATCTTCGTGTAATTTTGATACACGAACAGTTTGACGAGTTTGCATACTCATTTACTCATACATTCATCTCAAGTTTATCCATTAAATTTTTTAAGAAAGAATTTGTTTTTTATTAAAACATATCAATTATCATGGGCTCCAAAGATCAGTCCCAGATGAGGGTACTTTATCTTAAAGATGAAACAGTTCAAAAGTTTATTGAAAAAATATAATGAGTATTCCAATACATTTGAAAATATTCAATTTTTCGAAAAATTCATTTCGATGACATTTTCAAGATTAATTTTTAGAGCTCCCTTGTCCACCTCGCCCACCACGCCCTCCACGTCCACCATCTCCAGGGATAGAACCACTGCCTCCACGGCCTCCTCTTGCACCTTGACCACCTCGTCCACCATCGCCAGAAATAAGTCCTTTACCACCAGTACCTCCGTTGCCTCCATTTCCTGCGTCTCCACCATCACCACCGATCAAGCCTTGTCCTCCTGTGCCACCTACTCCACCACGTCCACCTCTACCACCATCGGCAGCGATCAAACCATCTCCTCCACGACCTCCTCTTGCACCTTGACCACCTCGACCACCATCGCCAGCAATAAGACCTTTACCACCAGTACCTCCGCTGCCTGCGTTTCCAGCGTCTCCACCATCTCCACCGATCAAGCCTTGTCCTCCTGTACCACCTACCCCACCACGTCCACCTCTACCACCATCTCCAGCTATAATACCATTACCTCCCCGGCCAGCTTTACCACCATTCCCTCCTTTACCTCCGTCTCCACCAATTATACCATTTCCACCCTTACCACCTGCTCCTCCTTCACCACCTTTTCCACCTTGTCCACCTTGACAATGAACAATACCTACTAGACAAATTGAAAATATGAGTACAAACGATTTCATCTTGGCAGATTCACTTGCTCGAATCATTCAAATGTGAATGATAAATTGAATTAACTAGCACAAATAATTTATATGGTTTCATAACAAAGACATCCGCTTATGAAAAGATCAAGTAGTATTACGTCAAAATCGTATTTATTAGGATCATCGTAAAAATAATAAAGGTTGGCCGTTTGTCGTGTTGTTATCAAATATTTTTCCGAGAAATATCGCTCACAAAAAAATCATTTTAAAATTGTCATATGTTATTACCAAATGGTAGTATCTAAAAAGTTAAATAGACAAACTTAAAATATAAACACGTGACTACATCATAATCGTCACACAATCAAAATTGGCCAATGTCAATTTTTTGCGTCAAATGATTAAACGTGTGAAAACATTTTGAGTGTCTTGACTGATATTAAAAGATAAAAAATACGTAGATCGTGTTTTCGAGAAGAACGTTTTCGTGTTATTAAGTCATTATATTATTTATAACAACAATAATATTCGTTCAAACATTTGAGCTTTGTTAATAAATTGGATAAAACCGTAGGCGTTCCGTAGAATTTCATTCAGTTTTAATCTACAGAGCTCACTGCAATGCAGATATTGACTGTAGCTCTTTTTGTCTGTTCAATTTGTCTAGTAATTGGACAAAAAAGTGGAACAGAACAAAATGGTGTAATTTTAGGTAGCTACACTGGTGGTGGTGGTGATGCAGGACATGGCTCTTCAGGTGGAGGTGGTGGAAGTGGTGTTGTTGGTGGCGAGGGAGGCCAGGGAGGGGGTGGAGGTAATGGTGGCAATGGCGGAAGTGATCTTCTCATCGGAGGCGACGGAGGCAATGGTGGAAATTCCGGTAATGGTGGATCAGGAGGTAATGGTGTAGTTGCAGGCAACGGTGGTAATAGTTTGCCTGCAGGTTCCGGTGGTAATGGTGGAAGCGGATCTCTTATTGGTGGCGATGGTGGACAAGGTGGTAATGGAGGAAAAGGTGGCAATGGAGGTGACAGTAAAGATAATAATAGCAAGGTAAATACTGCCTCATCCAGTAAAAGCAGTCAAAATAGTCAAAACACTCAAAGCAATCAAAGCAGTCAAAGCAGTAAAATTAATAGTTCAAATAGTCAAAAGAACATCAAACAACACGTGGAAGTTAATAGCCAACAAAGTAAACAGTCAGAACAAAACCATTCTAGTAGCTCCAATAAAGGTAAAGAAAATAAAGATAACAATAAACAAGATCATAGTTCTGGAGGATCAGGAGGAGTAGGCGGAACCGGTGGTACAGGTGGCAATGCTGGCAGTGGATTATTGATTGGCGGCGATGGAGGTAAAGGTGGCAATGGAGGAATAGGTGGATCAGGTGGAGATGGAATAGTGGCTGGCAATGGAGGTAAAGGGGGAACGCCTGGTAATGGTGGATCTGGAAGTAGTGCTCTTCTCATTGGAGGCGATGGAGGAGATGGCGGAAATTCTGGTAAAGGTGGTGCAGGAGGCAATGGAGTAATTGGAGGTAATGGTGGTGATAGTGTAAAGGGTGGCAAGGGCGGTAAAGGTGGTAGCGGATTGCTTATCGGAGGAGATGGAGGAAATGGTGGAAAATCTGGAAACGGTGGAGCAGGGGGAAATGGTAAAAAAGTTGGTGGTGATGGTGGTAACAGTGCCAAAGGTGGTGAAGGGGGTGAAGCTGGTAGTGCCTTGCTTATCGGAGGAGACGGAGGAAATGGTGGAAATTCCGGTAAGGGTGGATCAGGAGGAAATGGTAAAATAATCGGGGGCGATGGCGGTAATAGTGCCAAGGGTGGTAAAGGAGGTAAAGGTGGTGGTGCATTGCTTATTGGAGGAGATGGAGGAAATGGTGGAAAATCTGGAAGCGGTGGAGCAGGAGGAAATGGTAGCAAAGTTGGAGGTAATGGAGGTAACAGTGCAAATGGTGGTAAAGGTGGTGAAGCTGGTAGCGCATTACTTATCGGAGGTGACGGAGGAAATGGCGGAAAATCCGGTAATGGTGGAGCAGGAGGTGATAGTACAAAACTTGCTGGCGATGGGGGTGATAGTGCAAAAGGTGGTAAAGGAGGTAAAGGCGGCAGTGGATTGCTCATTGGAGGAAGCGGAGGGCAAGGTGGCAATGCAGGAAAAGGTGGATTGGGTGGCAATATAGTAAATAAGAAAAATAATAATAAAGAACAACATAGTAGCAATGCCAGTGCTAATGGACAAAACAATAAGGATTCTTTAAATCACAATAATGATGCCAGTGCGATTTCTAGCAACTCGATAACTCATCAACAATTAAATGTTGATAGTCAACAACAAGAAAATACTCAGCAAAATCTATCCCACCAAGGTGCTGAAATTTCTGCCTCCATTCAAAATAGCAGTAATTCAAAATCCAAGAACAGCAATCAAGTTTCAAGTCAGCAACACAATGCTAATATTGGATCAAGTAGTTGGTCTGGTCAGCAACATAATAGTATCCACAGTCAGCAAAACGAAAATGTTGAACAAGTTCAATCTAATCAAGGCAGTCAAAATGAAGTAAGCTCGCAAAAAGCTGGTGACGGTGGTTCAGGCGGCAATGGAGGGCATGGCGGTAATGGTGGCAATGCTCAATCTGTGAGTAATCATGAAACCAATAAAAACAATGTTCACCAAGACCCATCTAGTAACCAGCATACAACAATTACGAAGTCTAAAAATCAAAGTAGCCAAAGTAATAAAAACCAAGTAGCCGGTGATGGCGGTAATGGTGGAAATGGTGGTATTGGAGGTAATGGTGGCGATGCTAATGCACTTGGCGAGAATAAAATAAATGAAAATAATTCTCATCAATGGTCGGGAAAAGGCTCAATTTCTCAATCTGGCTCATCTAATAATATACTTCAGTCAGGAAGCCAGAGCAAAATTACTAGTGAACAGCAACTTAGCAATAGTGCAAGTTTGAATTCTAATGGAGCTCAAAATATTGGTACAAGTGAATCAAAAAATGCTGTAGCTTCTGCAAGCAGTAAATCTCAAAGTGAAGCAAAATTAACTTCTGGGCAAAATAATCTTGAAAGTGCTAATTCTCAAAGCAGTTCTCAGGCTATTGTTCTTGGATCTTCAGGGAATGCTCAAAACCAAGCTCAAATTGGAAAAAATAAATCCACTGGAAATATTGGTACTTCTCAACATGTTGGTCAACAGAAAAATAAGAGCAGTCAAGGCAATTTAAGTGGTGCTGGTGGTCATAAATCCAACGATAACACTGTTCTTATCGGTGGTAATGGTGGAAAAGGAGGTAATGCTGGTCAAGGAGGAGATGGCGGAAACGTCGTAAATAAACAAAACAAGTGGCAGCAAGAAAATAATCTTTTTGGTGATGAAGATAATTCGCAAAAAGAAAGTAACCAGAGTGATAACAATAATTCTTTAAATAAATCTCAAACCAAAGCACAATCTGCATCTCAATCAAGCAGCCAAAGTAAAAGCAAAGGTTCAAGTCAATCTGAAAGCAAAGCACAATCAGCATCTCAATCAAGTTCTATTAGTGAGAGTTCCAGTAAAAACGTAAACAACGGTGGTCAAGAGAAAATTAGTGCATCGTCACAATCGTCTAGTAAATCTTCAGCTCAATTAAATTCTGAAAGTCAGAAGAAAGTGAATTCTAATGGTGAAGGTATAATTGATATTCGTGGTGTTAATGAAAATGTCGGCAATGAGGTCCTTCAAAATGAGAATGAATCATCAAACCAACACGAGAAAAATCAGGAAAATGAGGAAGATGACCGTAGTTCTGAGGAGGATAAACCCAAGGAATCTGGAAGAGTATCTCGCGTTCAAATAAAGAATATAGTGAAAAATTTAGTGCTTGACCTTATTGAACAAGTTAAAAATTTGGGACGACCTGTAATCGGCCAAGGAAATAAAGAGGAAGGTAGTACGTACAAACTGCGTGGATCCCACCTTCCTGGCAATATTCAACGTCATTAAAATCAAGAATAAATGTATTCAATTAAATAATAGGAGAATCGATACAATAGATAATTAAATAAAATGTATTTGGTGGATATGATCTATAAACAAAAAATAATCAAGTTCCTATACATGAATAAGTAGTTGTAAATAAATTGTATAATTAAAAAAAAGAAATGAAATAAAAACATGTGAGTTTATATTCAACTCAGTACTATGAAGCAACATTAAACGGAAATAGAACTTTTTTTTATGATGTATTCTTGGTTGTACGGAATCTTAAAATTTAATTAACAACTTGTAAACGATATTCTAGTCTTATCTCTGGAAAAAAAATAATAAATATATTTTTGGTGATAAATTGTGTTTGAAGTATCTTGTACCTAACCAAAAAGGCAATGGTAAAAAAACTCTGGGGTCAGTAAACAAATGAAAATAAATATATTTTTTTCTTACAATGATTATATAATTAAAAATATTCTTCTCTACTTCATAGATTAAAATTAAAAAAAACTTCGATGGTGTGAACTTGTTTTATTGACAACAAACATACTTTATAAAAAATTTTTAGTTTTTACAGTACAGAACATGCGTTTTCAATATTTTTAGTGCATCTTATAATCACAGGTACTTAAATAATTAAAGATTACTTTTGTTGATCTAATGAGAGAATTCTATAGCCAAGCATTGACTTTTGAAAACATTTATTGACTTCGTGTTGTAAGTTGTTTAAATATCATTACACAATTTACAGTTATTACATAAGAATTCAAAAGTCATAATTTGCAAGCTTAACCAAATATCTATGTACAGTGATAATGATATTAATTTTTTCTTAAGTATAATAGTATCTAATAAATTTACTAAACTTATTTAATTTTACACTAGATATTTATCTTTCACACAATTCAAAATTCATTATATTAGTCGTCCGGAAAAACGATTGCGTTTCCTCCTTTGCCACCTAATCCACCTAGACCTCCTTTGCCTCCGTTTCCAGCCACTTTGCCATCGCCTCCTCGACCACCCTTTGCAGCTTTGCCTCCGTCTCCACCGTTACCGGCCACTTGTCCGTCTCCACCGCTTCCACCAAGACCGCCGTTTCCAGCATCACCTCCGTCACCGGCGATGTCGCCGTTTCCACCTCTGCCACCCACGCCTGCCTCGCCACCAACACCACCGTCGCCTGCAATTCTACCATTGCCGCCTCGGCCTCCTACACCGCCAATGCCACCCTTACCACCGGCACCGGCTATTTGGCCATCACCACCGTTTCCACCAACACCTCCAGCTCCACCAGCTCCAGCGTTACCAGCTTTTCCATTTGGGCTCGAGCCACCGTCACCTCCAGCTCCACCCGCACCGCCAGCACCTCCTTGTCCTCCGGTGGAGCGGCAGAGAGCGACTCCGATGAGGCCGACAAAGAGAATAATCGTCAAAGTTTTCATGGTACCGATACTAATCGTTGTCGATGCCGATATGATTCGAATGATACTTCCAATAAAAGATTTTTTGATTTTTATACGTTTCTTTTAACGTTGTTTACATTTGCAATTTTGCTGCACCAAGTGATTGATGCAGCCCACAGATTAATATGCGGAAATTATTTGCGTTTATCATTTTGTTTATTATCAATAAAAGTGCGATAAAAAATCTGTTGAATAAACAGATTTATTAATACCAGCGTTGAAATCGAAATTGGTCATAATACGTTTTGTTACATGAATAAGAGTGTACATGGCGATTAACTTTTTGTTTTTTCACGATCAAAAATGAATGATTTTTATTTGCTGCCAAGATTACTATGAATCATCAGAAGAAAAATCGATTATTCTTACGATTTAAGAAAAATGAAATTTATATTCAATAAAATCGGCTCTCATTAATCTGTCATTGTATGTCGCAGCTCTCCAAGTATAAGTTTATAGAAATATATGGATTTCAGATCACAACGGCGCGCGATACAATGATACCCATTTGCACAAGTACACACCGGCACGTATATCGCACGTATTCACGTATGTAGACGACGCTGCTACTAACAATGCGCTCAATCATTTTGCGGTGTACTGTCGTTGGCGCGCCACATCGCACATGCTGCCACCACCATACACAGAGAGCGAGATGTCCCCCCAGCAGAGTCGAGCTGTGCTGCAGTGTGCAGAAAAACTGAAAAGCTAGCGCGTACCTACTCGCGTTGACTGCTGGACTGTAGCATCGACTCATGTATGTCAGATGCGATAGTGAGAAATCATTCGTTCGGAAATAGAAATCGATTCGCTCTCGCTCTAAGCCTAGTCGTATCACATGGGCAAATAAATCTTTCAAACACTAATTAAAGACTTTGGTAATATTTTTTTTGTAATTCAATAGCTCGTGGCCTTTTTTATGATAAAATTTACTCTTGATTCGCATCGTACTAATCATCTTTTTTCGGACAATCGTTGTACTGCAGTATATCTTTTATCGTTTCCAACTGTCTTTTAGTTGTACTTCTTATGTACTCCAAGGGATAGAGAACTTTTCGCGTCAGTGCTCGAGGCAATCTTTTTTATAGAAAAACACACTCCACTATGTTCACAAAGCAAAGCTTTTTCCGCTTATGGCAATAGTTCTTTTTATTTACCATATTACAAAAGCAATGCTAGCGCAACGCAAATTTCAAATTTTCCAGTAATCATCCTACTAATTTAATTAAATTTAGTTTGCTAATGGTATTTCAAAGTAAAATAACAAATTTATTATGAAAATTCAAAACAGTGTAAAATTATTTAAACATGAACTATGGAACACTAGCGGGAGCTCATAATGCATATTGTGAAACTTTGATCGTGCTTCGGCGTGTACACACTATATAAAACTCGTTATCGAACTAAAACTGACCAACACGTATATATTCGTCGATAACTTTGCGATCGTCAAATAAATTATTATATCGTAAGTACTTTGAAATTTACACCAAGAGCTTAGCATTTTACACTAACTCGTGCGTCACCCTCCAAGCGCGTCTAGACCATATTTTTTTGGTACACGGCGGCAATATTTTTTTCTCAAAGGTAAAACTTTGCATTTGCTAGCTTGCAAAGTTTACAACGTCCATGCGATACATACCTGTACGTACAGCTATATAGAACGAGCGAAGTTAGAAGAACGTGAACTTTAGTGCGCAGCCCTCTAGGGATGCGCTTTTCTTTCTTTTTCTATTTTTTTTGCCTCTTTCTCTCTTTCTCTCTCGGACTATAAGTTGAAAGAGCAGTAAGAGCAAGCGAGAGAGAAAACAATGTGGCTATTGTTAGTTACTCGTCGGCTATATACGTAATGAGTTATCCCCCGGCTGTAGCTATAGCGATAAAACGCAGGTACTACTGCCGTGTATATGTATATATAGTTTTTCCTATTTTTCGCTTCTCTATATTATCTCTTTCTCTCTCTCTCTCTCTCTCTCTCTCTTGCTCTCGTTTGCCGATTTCACGCGGAAAAGGATGCTTTGTTTTGACTCTGCGGCTTGTCAGTTTAATTGGTTCTGTCGTTATCTCTTATATCCTCTTCATTCGCAATCTCTGTGCGCTATAGATTTCGCTACCTATACGTATCATACATGCACGCACTCGTTGTTTTTCTATAATTTTTCCAATCTACTCTTTTCTGTCTAGAGAGCGTTTTCAGCTCAAGGTGAAGTTGAAAACTTTGAAAAATTTTGCAAGATAAAGCGGAGCTTTACTACCCATAGCGAAACAACGTATTAATTGGCCGTGGCAAAGTCATAAGATAAATAAAAAAAATTTCAAACCACTTAACGTCAAAGTTGAACTAATGACATTATTAAGTGTTATTGATGCAACCCAGCCTCATCATTAACGGGATGACATGAAATTCATCTAATAATTGAGTTTCAGCTCTCTACTCTCTTCTCCTCTTCGTTCTGGGGAAAATAATGAAAAGCTCGATCGAGGCTGGGAAACCACTGATAACACGGGTGAAAATTATGAATAAATATGAATATAAGTAAATTGATTTAAATGTCAATTTATCTCGAATGCATCAAACTAAAAAGACCAGATGTACCGAGTCGGTATAAAGTAAATGGAAATGACCTGCGAAATAAGTAAACTCGACGCTGCTTCAATACAAACAATACCGAGTATTTCTCTTGACTGCACTTAATCATTCTCGATGCCTGGGAGCTACGACGAAGAATGCATTTGACTATCGGAGAGGCTTATTTTACTATAGCGTTCGACGCTTATAACGTTGAAGTTTCTTGCTCATAATAGTACTTTATTTTATAAATGAAATGTATACGGTTGAGTACTCACAAATACTGCGTGATGCAATTTTGAAACGTACCTGTAACAAAAAAATTGAGAAAAAAATTTAAATCGCACGCCAGACAAATTCTTCAAAAAATTCCACAAAATGTGTGTCAAAAGTAGCCAAAAAAACGTGTCCGTGCATGCAAAAGGTGAGAGACACCTCTTTAGTGCCGTATTTTTTCAGACTGAGCATTCATTGATGTTTATATGTACGCGAGAATAACAGCGCCGATTCTCTTGAAGCTGCAGCAGTAGCGGCAGCATAGTTGATGCTAAAGCTTTGATGTCTTCTTGAAATTCAACATGCTAAAAAAGCATTTTCAGCCGAAATTTTTTTACTGCACACGATACTAGAGATTTGCATCGATAAAGTAAATATAGCTTTTATGGGAGCCGGGAAATATTTAATTTTTTTTTCGTTCATCATAAAACGAGTGAGAAAAAAGATAAACCTTTTAACGGTATTTTTATACATTTCAGATTTAGAAAATCTAGGAGCGCACATAAACTTTATTGAATTTAATTCTTCCACTCAACACCTCTGGCAGAGAAAAATTTTCTGCATCCCATCTTTATAGTCCTTTCAAAGCTTTCCCTGCTTGGCAGCGCGAAGATGTTCAATCTTTTACTCGCATCCGCTCCTCATTTCCTAATTAGGCATTCAGGAACTAATTGAATCTTGATCGCAAACTTGAATTGGAATTCAGCCAAGTTTCTCCTTTCTATGAAGCTATACTCATGGGACTGTAAAGCTTGACTTTTTTCAAGCTTTTCATTCTATCGCCTCGAAAATACGTGCACTTACAACCTTTTTTACATGTCAACAATGATATTTCACAACCGTTCGAAAAAAACGATGCAATCGATCGGTGTAACAAATCGTCACTCAAAAATGTTCCTCCATCGAGAAAAACAATTGTTAACGGCATCTAAAATGCACCTGCACATACTCACACCACATAAAGTTATAAAAAAAAAGGAAAGGTCAACTGTAGATTTTTTTGGAAATTTTGATTTTTCGCTGATATATAGCCCTTTCTGTTAGTCTTATTCACTTACACCAGGTCTTAAATTTTTCATTTCTTGCATTTTCTGGCGTTTTATATTTTCTTTAAAATGCCTTCACCTGTCGTAATATTTAAATCAAACCAATTGAGCGTCCAGGTGGTGTACACTTCCTCAGAACATCAATAGTTACGGTCGTAAATTCGGGCGAGGTGATCAGACCCATAGATCGCCCTGATGAACACGTTTATGATGGAAATGACAATAAAAAACGTAAAATGAAGAAAAATTTTTGTTTGAGCGTTTGTGTAGAGCGACTTATGAAACTGATCACCTCACCCGAGGTGGCGCCGTAACTATTAATGTTCCGAAGAAGTCTACACTAACTCGGTGCTGCAACTCAATTGGGTCGTTCTGAATATTGCGACACGTAAACGTTTTTATGAATAATTGAAATTTCAGAAAACATAGAAGAAGGAAATATTCAAAATACAAAATATACAAAAAGGCCACGAAAAAAGCAGTGTCTTTGTGAAAAATAAAAATTTTTAAATTTAAAAACTACGTTACAAATGGGGAAAAAATGTTTTCTAAAAATTAAATAACTCCTTTTCCGATATTAAACCCTTTGATAAGCCTTTGATATACCTTTAACGCAATGTTCACGAGCAAATTGAAAGTTGTCCAAAGGTTCGAGTTAGAAAAGACGATAAGTACTTTCGAGTATAACGCGGTTGAAACAACATCGTGTACTTATAGTTCTTTCGTAGCTCTGTTCACTTTTTCATATAACCAACTTTTCGCCTCCAGCGAAAAGTCTTTGAAGGCCTACATGTGAGAATGTACTTTTCACTTGGCTCTCTTATTCGAGGCGAAAATATGGAATGAAACGAGCGAGTGTGTAGTGTGTACTACGTGTGCTTGTGTGCGGGTACGTGCGCTGTTGCAGGCGCAGGCAACGATTGACAGAGTCACGTGCGCTCGCGTTGGTCTATTCTTTGAACACAAAGAAAATCGTTTTGGTCAGTTTGATTTTGTAGCATTTAATATCTCATTGATTTTCGCATCACATGTGTGGGCACAGCTCGATATGTGCTTTTCGGAACGTATAATAGACTTATATTGGCTTC